TCTCATACTTTTTCATACTTCTATACTTCAGAAATACAGAAGTATGTTGTTTCTCCCTTAAGTACGAGACAATGCGAAACAGATGGGCTGATTTTCCTAATTTTCTCATCCGACTGAATGTTGGAAAAAAACTGTGCGCCTTTTTCCAGAGAAAGTAGGTCCCAAAATTTTGCTAGTACGACTTTCGCCAATTATTGAGGAAATTTCACTCACTCAAGAAAGCGAATAATTCTTAGAAGTGAAACATTTTCAGTGCAATACTCTGGTAATCAAACATAAACATAATAGAGCCACTGTAATCGCTAACGACAGCTCTCGCCATATCCATCATAGACCATGACGAGTCAAAAGTTTTTTCCGACTTGTCTTTCAACATCGGTATGGCAGGCTGATTGATGGCGTCACATTTTTTGTCATATACTGCGATACTTATTCACAATCGTTTTTCGTAAAATGAGAAAGTGGCTGACTTTTTATTTCTCTCTGCCGAAAATGCGACCTGACATTCATATTTATAAAGAAGTGAAACTTTACAGCTTCAGTTATCGAATAATCGGCATTTCAAAACAGCTATTGTAATGTGTTGAGGTTGTAGACGTCTGTCGTTTAAAGCATAGTTCAGTGTCACACTTGGATGGTACTGAAAAAATGGGATAAGAACTCAAGCATGCACTACTGGTTCACCTAATCTGATTTTGTGATCGTTTCAGATTCGTCACTCGCACCTTCTCATCCTCATCAGTACAATGAATCCAATTGTAAAATTCTAATAAGCAATACTAGTTCACCTATAAACTGACTTTCTGATTATTTCAGATCCATCGTCCGTATCTTCTCACCCTTCTTCTCAAGGTAAGTGTATTTGACTAAATTCAACGATTTGAACATGCATATATCATATTGTGACATTGCCATTGCGGAGATCTGGAAATTAGCATATTCGATGCGAGGAGTATCGGTTAGTTTTGACTAGGTTTTTTTAAACAATCTTATTTGCATTACAACAGTTTCAATTAGAAAACGATAATATCTACATGGTAAATAGAGAAACGTTTTCGAAAAAGTAAGTAAAGTGCATAGATGATGCCTACTAGATTTGAGACTAATGACGATATAAAGATTGGCTTATAAAGAATAGCAGTCTCACTATTTCGTAATTATCATATACACGTTTTATTGCTATGATTTCACCCTTCTTAGAACACTCTTCATGCAATTCTCAACTATGCTAGACCCGTCATACGTTGTTGTGGATAAGAAGTTTATTCTAAAACGAAGAGCACACACACACACCTTATCACACAAAATGGAGAGGATATATATATATCTGAGATGATGGAATATACTAATGATAGATATGACACAGTTGGATTATACCTGAGTGACAACATAAAAGCAAAGAAGAAAAAAAAACAAGAGAAAAAAATATGGAAAAATACCTGACAGAAATTAGAAGAACGAAAGAAATAGATATAGCGGACAGCGTAGATGTATGAAAGGGAACGAACACGTATATATATATATATATAACACAACACAATCCTCCCTTATGGCATGTCTATAATGAAGGGTAATTCAAAAGTCTTCTTCGTTCTTAGAAAAATTGTTCGTTCTTCCTTATTACAAATCCAATAATGCTTAAAATTGGACGTCTAATTTCTTCTAACTAGACGAATATTATCCTAAATTTTCAGATCTCTAGTCCTTATCTTGAGGGTAGATATAAAAAGTCGTATGATAGAGCAAATTTTTTTCTATGATCCAAAAAAGTTTAAAAAATTTTATTCATAAGAAACATCTAAAATAATTCTCTTTCACTATTTAAACAATAGTATACAATAGAGTATTTTACATTTTTATGTCGTCATAGATCTTTTGTTGATTTGATAACCATCTTTATCAATTAAACACTGTAATCTTCTTGGTATTGAGTTTATCAATTTTGAACATATTTGTGGACTAATGGTTCTTCAGATATTTACAATTTTTTTCCAGATTGTTAAATTTTCAATTTTTTCTCCTTCTAATTTTTGTTTAATATAATTTTAGATGTTTTCTATGTACTATATATCAGCCATTTTATCCGATTGTTCTTCCATTTTAATACATTCATCGAAAATTTCGTATATTTTCTTTCACACATGTATAAATAGTGAAAGTGAATTATTTTAGATGTTTCTTATGAATAAAATTTTTTAAACTTTTTTGGATCATGGGAAAAAATCTCCTCTATCATACGATCATATATATCTACCATCAAGATAAGGACTAGAGATCTAAAAATTTAGGATAATAATCGTCTAGTTGGAAGAAATTAGACGTCCAATTTTAAGCGTTATTGGATTTATAATAAGGAAGAACGAGCAATTTTTCTAAGAAAGGAGAAGACTTTGAATCACCGTGTATATGTATATAAAGACTTCAATCAAGAAAAGTTTTTTTTAAAAAGCTTCAGCTATTTCGTTCACATTTATCGTGCGTCGTCAGAGACTTGATGATCATGGACTCCAACAAACACAACATGTAAAATTTTCTAAAAATGACAACTGATGAATAAAAAAATTCTATCTACTCTTTATAACTGCGAAATATCATCGACATATGAAGTTTTGTTCAAGGACAAGTATCTTTCTCGAAATCGGTTATCTCAACTATCTTTTTGGTGGGACTAATGAATACTCGCATGTCATGTTGGCAATAAATAATATTTTCTACACAGGAAATGCAAGTATCCTTTGGACAATCGTTAATTTAGACCATCCTTCTAGCGATGTTTCTCGTTTTCCACTGGATTTTGCATTGCTTGCTCACTCAATAGAATTGTGTTTTGTAATAGGCACTCATTTATATGAAGAAAACGAGCATTTTTGTCCCGAACACCAATTTTTACTTGAAATGAACACTTTTCCTACGAATCAATTCATTCTCCAACTCTCTTTATTGTAAGGCTTGTCCATAAATATTTTTGAAATGAATCAAATGTTTGAAACTCGTGCGGTATTGTATCGCCTTCACATGACAAGTCTTTTTGTCATACTTGATTGATCTGACAAAGTATCTGTTGAATCTATATATATATAATGTTCAGTGTCTGTGCCGAATCAAAGGTCAAAGCGGATAAGGAGTAGGAGTATAAGGTTATAAAGGCATAAGGGGATAGGGATATAAGGAAATAAGGGATAGGGGATAGTGTTATAAGGGAATAGGGGTATATGGGAATAAGAGATAGAGGATAGCCTGTAAGGGAATACGGATATAAGGCTGCAGAGGTATCAGAGATAGGGTATAAGGCAATAAGAGTATGAGGAGTACAACTACAAGAGTAATAAGGCTACAGAGGTATAAGGAATAAAGGTGTAAGAGAATAAGGAAATAAGCCTATTAGCAGGTAATACTACAAGAATATAAGGCTATAAGATCCATAAATATATAATATAAAGTATCTGATTATCTATTACAGGATCGAGACTAAAGCACCGATGTGAAACTTTACAGGAAAAAGTAGCCATGTAGTATGCACAGGATCTCGCTAATTTTTTCCAAAATCAATAGGTGAAAGTAAAAATGTTTTTATTTAGAACAAAGACTGTTGGATTGCGGTGGTCCTGCTTACAATGATTCCGGTACATGTTATCACTCATAAATTCTCCTATGCGCCAGATAACATAGCAGGATTCAAAATATATGAATAAAACCCTTGTCCAACTTGTTTTAACTATTCATATGCTGCATGAACTTGGATCAGTAAGCTTCCTAGACTAGTTTTCTTCAAAGTATATAAAATAAGTGGAGAAGATCTGGCAATTGCCGTTGCGAACATGCCTTTATCATATGTCCGTCAGCTAGTTTTTATCAGCTCGACATCCACAGTTCCATGTGAGCAGAATAACTGAATAGGTTTGTGATACAGGCCTTTCATATGTTCTGCCGTCTTCAATTGGACACTTACTATGCATCTCTTCTGTAGAATTAATAAAATAGGTGAACATAGCGATTGGTAAATAATGATTTATTTCCATCGTGATCACCGACAAATTTCGAACTGACAATAGCAATTGACATAAGCGAAATACGTGAATAAAATATTTGGAAGAATGATTGTGCTCATTCATAGACGATGAAATTTTTATCTCATACTTGATCTTAGTTAATGCGCTTTACATGAGCAATATAGATGAGCAACAAAATCATGAAAGTTATTCGTTTGCCGTATACTTCGCCAAATAGTCGCTGATACTGAATTGCTATCTGTGAATAGACACAATATGTGAACAGAAATGTTGGAAATCGACCCTTTTCATATCATGGTTTTATTAAACCGTATTTGCTACTGAAGACATTTGTTTGAAACGACTGAAATAGATGAATACATCTAGCGTTATGATTATGTAGCTGTCACGAAACTATCAATCTTTTTACTGAAACGAAACCTCAGTGGCAATAAGAACAAAATAAACGAATACTTGTATATTTAAGAATATTCATTGGACGTGTAATCTTGAACAGTATTGCTACGCAAGGATCTTCTTGTAAGTAAATAGAATATCTGAAGACAACATTCAAGGTTTTAAGCATTCATTTGTTATGCGAAGTAATTTTTCATCAGCTCTCAATCGTAATAGTTATCACTTTTAAGAGTAAAATATATATGAATAGGACCTTGGCACTTGCAGTCAAGTCATTTCATTTCTTCAACGAACTTTGATTGATTTTCATCTTGATAGATTAACATTATGATAATTATAATATCTGAACAAAATCTTTATTAAAACTATTCGTTTACCGCGT